ATCAAATTTAGGTGTTATATTGTTTAAGTGTTGAAACTGGAGAATGGATACTTTAAAATTATCAAACTTAGGTGTTACATTGTTTAACTGTTAACTGGAGAATGGATACTTTAAAATTACCAAATTTAGGTGTTATATTGTTTAAATGTTTAAACTGGAGAATGGATACTTTAAAATTATCAAACTTAGGTGTTATATTGTTTAAGTGTTGAAACTGGAGAATGAATACTTTAAAATTATCAAACTTAGGTGTTACATTGTTCAAATGTTAACTGGAGAATGGATATTTTAAAATTACCAAATTTAGGTGTTATATTGTTTAAGTGTTGAAACTGGAGAATGGATACTTTAAAATTACCAAATTTAGGTGTTATATTGTTTAAGTGTTGAAACTGGAGAATGGATACTTTAAAATTATCAAACTTAGGTGTTATATTGTTTAAGTGTTGAAACTGGAGAATGAATACTTTAAAATTATCAAACTTAGGTGTTACATTGTTCAAATGTTAACTGGAGAATGAATATTTTAAAACTACCAAATTTAGGTGTTATATTGTTTAAGTGTTGAAACTGGAGAATGAATACTTTAAAATTACCAAATTTAGGTGTTATATTGTTAATTTAACATTGTTCAACTAAATCTAGATCTAAACGATTTTTATAATACTTAGAGTATAATCTTTAAGTTTATCTAAACAATGATAAAGTAAATAGATTATATCTGTTGATAATTTTAGCAGAAATAGGCTTACTTTTGGGAAGTGTAAAACTTGTTATACATGTTAATACTAACAAAGTAACATACAACATAAATTATCCTCGCTGCCCATTAATGTGGATATGGGGCATTTGTAATAGTTAAACACAAACACATCATACAGGCCCAGAGTCATAGCTTATAGTCCTGCCCAGTCCTGTAAAGTAGTGTGATGGAACTTAAGTACCTGAGTCATCGCTTATATTCCTGCCCAGTCCTGTAAAGCAGTGTGATGGAACTTAAGTACTTGAGTCATGGCTTATATTCCTGCCCAGTCCTGTATAGCAGTGTGATGGAACTTAAGTACCTGAGTCATGGCTTATAGTCCTGCCCAGTCCTGTATAGCAGTGTAATAAATTATACTACATATGATGAATATGCAATGTTTAAATTTCATTATAGCTTAAAAGCTTATCTTTTAACAAATATTATTAACTCTATTACATTACTTCAAGAATTCTTATTTTTAAAGTTCCTAGCTTACAGCTTTCTTAACATAATACTGTTGAAAAGTTCTGAGTATAGACTGAAATTATTATTTAAAATTTTCATGTCATTCTTTTTCATCTTAGGAACCACAAGATATGTCTTTTCAAAAGAATAGGAAGCCAAAGGATTGTAAGAATGGTCAAAGACCCCTTACAGAGTCAGAAAGTAGCACTACAAGTACCAGCACTCATCAGGACAGTTCTGATTCTGTAGATTTGACAGATCTCGAACTTCAAGTTGTTCAGAGCACAGGGTGTCAGGTTAGATCTAACAGCTCTAGAAAGTTACTTATTTAGTGCTTGTGGAGTGAATGTCAAAGTTGTGAATCATGATCCATTACTAATGTGTGTTATGACAGAGTGATAATTCTTAGTAATTATACTTGTCGATTAGTGTTATATTTTTTAACCTTATGTTCTATATCTAGTCCCTTAGGGATTTTCAAAAATTAGAAGGGTGTATGATAATAATATTTCAACTACACTATGTTTGCCACATCCATTGCCAACTGTGTGTTTCACTCATTCCAGAGCTCATCATGCCAGTTGGGAAACAACAAACACATTAGAGGTTGGAACCCTATTTATATAAGCCATTTGTTATGGAGTGAATGCCTTTTACTGGCTGATGAAGCATGATTACAATTAATTATACTTGTCATAAGACATTAGTATTAGGCCTATTATAACCATGTTTTGCCGTGTTGGAAAAGGTATTCACACTGTAAGAAGAGTGATGGTCATTTAAGTTATATAAATCTTTAGTACTGTAATAAAGGTTTCCAATTAAAAGGGTATATATTAGCATTTCAACGACACTTCAAGTGTTTTGGCAACTTTTACAGTAGGCAAGTACTGATTTTAATGATTACAAAGTATTAACCCATAGTAACTTTTATCTCATGATGATTCAATACTATGGGCTGAAACGTTTCAATTATTAAAAACGGAATTTGCCTACTGTAAAAGTTTCTGTTATTGTGCTTATGAATTGATACTTCAAATGTTTGTATGCTTTTGTACACGAGGCCTTTTACCCAGTAATAGAGCTCAGGATGACTGACTGGATTACAGAGTATGAATTATTAGTTGAAATGATATTTATATAAGCCAATTATGAGTGATTATAGGAGTGATTCTAATGTCTGAGTTCTGACTTGTCTAACTGACTTGCACACTGTATTATTTTAATTTGAAGTTGGTGTAACACTGTATATATGTATGTGATTTTTATTATCATTTGTGAATGCTAACATTTCAGTACCACATACTAACTTTTATGTGTACTGTATGTTGAATCTTTTACTGATCCAAAATCATACTGACTGTAAATGCTAACATTTCAGTACCACATACTTACTTTATGTGTACTGTATGTTGAATCTTTTACTGATCCAAAACCATACTGACTGTAAATGCTAACATTTCAGTACCACATACTTACTTTTATGTGTACTGTATGTTGAATCTTTTACTGATTCAAAATCATATTGACTGTGAATGCTAACCTTTCAATACCACATACTAACTTTTGTGTGTACTGTATGTAGAATTTTTTACTGATGCAAAAACATATTGACTGTGAATGCTAACATTTCAATACCACATACTAACTTTTGTGTGTATTGTCTGTAGAATTTTTTACTGATCCAAAACCACACCAATTGAAACCACCATTATGCCTTTCTGTATCTAACCTACAAAAATGATTAATTGTCAACAGATTTAATTATTTACTAAAACCATCACAGCCTTTATATGTATGCTTAATATTTCTTTCACAAAAGCACTGCATGGTCTAATTATTACTAATTTCTGATTTTATGATGGAGTCACATAATTGAAGAATTCTTTCTTTTTCTGGAAGAAACTGGAAAAATTAACAATTTAACTCTAATCATGGGCCTGGTGGTTAAAGAGATTGACTCGCAAACTGAGGGTGATAGGTTCAAATCCACATCACCGAACATGTTTGCCACGGGGACATTATAATACAACATTATTCATTGGTAAAAGAATAACACAAGAGTTGGTAGCGAGTGGTGTTGACTAGATGTCTTCCCTCTAGTCTATCGCTGCTAATTTAGGGACAGATAGCCCTCGTGTAGCTTTGCTGGAAATTCCAAACAAACCAAACTTCTAGTCACAGTTATTGTCACTATATACTAGCACATGGTTTTAAGGAATTTTATAATAATAATATGCTGATGATGTAATAGTTTGCCAATTGTATGCACTTTATTTTTATCTATAAAATTTCTTAGTTTGTTCTGAAATGTTTAGATTTTTTGTTTTGTTTCACGAGTGATATAAGTAATATTTTTATGATATTTTAGTACGTACAACTAGTCCGCTCAACGTTAGAAGATAAGAGTGATATAAGTAATATTTTTATGATATTTTAGGACTTACAATTAGTCTGCTCAACGTTAGAAGATAACAGTGATATAAGTAATATTTTTATGATATTTTAGGACTTACAACTAGTGATAACAGTGATATAAGTGATATTTTTATGATATTTTAGGACTTACAATTAGTCTGCTCAACGTTAGAAGATAACAGTGATATAAGTAATATTTTTATGATATTTTAGTACGAACAACTAGTCCGCTCAACGTTAGAAGATAAGAGTGATATAAGTAATATTTTTATGATATTTTAGGACTTACAACTAGTCTGCTCAACGATAGAAGATAAGAGTGATATAAGTAATATTTTTATGATATTTTAGGACTTACAATTAGTGATAACAGTGATATGAGTAATATTTTTATGATATTTTAGGACTTACAACTAGTCCGCTCAACGATAGAAGATAACAGTGATATAAGTAATATTTTTATGATATTTTAGTACGAACAACTAGTCTGCTCAACGTTAGAAGATAAGAGTGATATAAGTAATATTTTTATGATATTTTAGTACGTACAACTAGTCTGCTCAACGTTAGAAGATAACAGTGATACAAGTAATATTTTTATGATATTTTAGGACTTACAACTAGTGATAAGAGTGATATAAGTAATATTTTTATGATATTTTAGGACTTACAACTAGTGATAAGAGTGATATAAGTAATATTTTTATGATATTTTAGGACTTACAACTAGTGATAAGAGTGATATAAGTAATATTTTTATGATATTTTAGGACTTACAACTAGTGATAACAGTGATATAAGTAATATTTTTATGATATTTTAGGACTTACAACTAATCCTCTCAACGTTAGAAGATAAGAGTGATATAAGTAATATTTTTGTGATATTTTAGTACGTACAACTAGTGATAACAGTGATATAAGTGATATTTTTCTGATATTTTAGGACTTGCAACTAGTGATAACAGTGATATAAGTGATATTTTTATGATATTTTAGGACTTACAACTAGTCCGCTCAACGCTAGAAGATAACTTATATGACGTTGATGCGACTGTGGATTGTATCATGAACCTATTGGCTCTTTCAACACAACATACTGAAGGTATTTATCTTTCAAGATAAATAACGTATTGATTTATAATCAGTTGTTGGTCAGTCACGTGTAATGGTAGCTTATTACTTTTTCCAGACTTCTATTTCTCCAAAAAACACATGTAGTTCAAGTCAACTAGGAAGTTTCAGCTTGGTAGTTTTAAAATAAAATTATCCTTTAGAAAAATTGTAAAAAAAAAATATTACATGATAAAAATATATATATTTTAAAACTATTCTTCCACACAAACTAAGTACCTTACTTAATAATGAATGGTGCCAGTATCCAAACTTAATGATCAATCAGGTGATTCCAACCAATCAAGTGGCTTAAAATTCAAATTATTAAAAAATTGTTCCAGACATAATGAATCAATGTTAATGACAGAGCTTGAGAAAATGTATATAAGGAATAACTTTGACGTGTCTTTTCAGACCCAAGTTTCTGTATTGAGAAATATCTCTGAAAGTTTGGGAGAGTGGCCGTGGTTATGCCCAGTATAGCAAAACAGTGAATAGAAAACATAGGAAATCTTGTACTAATTTTGGCTTATTTTTCTTTGCTTTTTAACCCTAAAGTCATGAGTTGATCATACAGAAATTTACGTGTTTTAATGGCAACTTTAAATGAGAGAAAATCTGGTAAACCAATTTCTAATATGAAACATAGCCTTTACTTTCAAAAATGCACCAAAACTTCTTTACGTTGTTTTGGTGTTGATAGAAAGTCTTCCCAAAGTAAGGCTACTTCTGTTTAGGGCCATTCTATTCTGACCTTGATTTTTATGGTTTTCAAGGTGTTTATGATATCCGGGCATCTATGCACTTACTAGAAGCAACAATAAATGTTCTTTCATTGGTTGATATCTGATCACACATTTCTGCATGAAAGACCTAAGACAATGAAAGTTGTAACAATGACAAGAACAAATTATCTTATTCTTGCTGTTCCTTCTGTTTGATGATTTTCTTGCCCTGTTTTGATTGTACAGTTAGAAAATCTGATCTTTACTGTCTAGATCTTTAAAAAAAATGCTTTAAAAAATTTCAACCTACCGTATTTTTCGGAATATAAGACGCACCCTTATTTTGAAGACAAAGTTTTGGGGGAAAAAAACT